CAGATTCGATTTATAATGCAAGGTTAGATGAGAGCAAGTGGACTTCGGTGTGCAAGGGTATGTAATCTTCCGTGTGACTAAGACAGCCAGCCATTCTGTCTTTCATGTTTTTTGCTTATGTTGCAATTTGTGTGCCGTTGAAGCATTAAATTGCATAATTAGCAAGTTCACCGTGGAGCTGTAGAGCGATAGATAGATAGATATATATATGTATACCAGTTGGGTCTGGGTCGAGTTGAGGGTCTGGGTCTGGGTCTAAATCTCGGTCTGTCTCACACACACACACATACAACCAGATTTATATATTTAGATGTACACATTCACCTGATCGCGAAATGGAAAGCGTTATTCATTTTTTAGAGCTTCGCTGAATTTGCAGCTGACACAGTTTCTGCCACAGCCACTGACAAACAATTGAGAGTGCGGCAAGTTATCTGTCAAATTCTCACGTTGCACTCAGATATGCAGCAAAAATCTAAACAATTTCTCAACCGGAAATACGAAAATAAAAAAATAAAATAAAAAACCCAAATCATTTTAATGACTTAATCAGCTCTAAAGCCACCATCATCATTATAATGATGAACTTAATTAACATATTGAAATTATTTGATTTTCCCTTGGTGGCATATTTCATTTTAGGGCCAAGTCCGATATTCGAGTTTTCTTATTTATTTATTTTTTTGTGTTCTTTTTGATTAATTACAAGGCGCTTGAAGTGTCTGGGTGCCGCCCGGAATCAGAAGAGACCTACACCAACCATACCATTTGTCTTGTTCTCCTTCTAAGGCATTACAGCGTACCTGTCGCGTCTCTATGCCAGAAGGGAGCAGCTTGGGCCCTCCGCTTGTTGCCCATGAGAAGTTGAGAAATTATGAGCTGCTCTCTTCTCGGGATTGGGTTCAAATGAGTTCAAAATGCGAGGCACTGCCTTTTCTCCTCCTCCTCCCCCGTCGTCTTTAGGTTAGGTCTTAAAGGTATTTATTTACTTCTCGTTGTTGTTGCTGCATTTTTTATTTGTATTCTGTGTGTCTTAGTTCGTCTTTTTGATTTTGTGTGTTGTTGTTATCATTTCTTTAGCATTTACATACATTTGTATCTTCTTTCTTATACCCTTTACATTGGCTTCTCGAAATTACTTACTAAAAAGGTTTCTTACAATCAACACACAATGTGCTCGTATCATATTATTATATATATTTATAACAGGATATAACCAAACAGTAGAATATGCATAAAAATATATCTAATTTGTCACTGGTTCCAATTCCTACTCGTAAACAGTAAACAAAAACTGTTGTCTGTTGTCTATCAAAAATCGAATAAACAAAAAAAAACTGAATCATTCGTTTTTCTTTGCAAACATTTTAAGAGTTTACTTGGAAATGATCAAAATAATCGGATGAGCCAATGTTTCCAACCTAAGCACAAGTTCAAGTTATAAGCGATCTCAAGAGTTTCGTTGTTTTGCTCACAGATCCCAGCTCCCAGCTCACAACCTTGGCTCACACCAGTCCAAAAAGAGTATGAGATGTGCGACTCGAACCCTTGGAGTATATCTTTTCCATCATGTTTGTATTTGAATTCATTTGCTAGCCTGCCTTTTTTTAGGAGCGTCGTTTTTTTTTATTATTGGAACGCCGCTTATCATTATTCAAATATTTTACCTAGCCGCGTACACATTCCGATCTGCTCTAAAATCATCTTTTCCAGGGCGATAATAATTACATCACACACACACACACAGACAAACACAGAGAGAGACAAACACACACAAATACACCTATTCTCTTTGGCTTCTTTTTGGGTTTTTGTTTTGTAATTATAAACAACTGACGCTCAAGTGCAGCATTTCCGCTGCCCGATCAACAAGGGGATGAAAATACATAGTTGTGCAGGGGTGTTCGAACGGGGTGGGGAGGGGGGCACGGGGTACGGGGTAAGTTACTCACCTTGCCGGCTGCCTTTTTGTAGCGACGCGTCGCCTCGCTGATCAAATCCCGTACGAGAAGCTCACCAGGGCCGCAGGGCACCAAAATGCGAAGATCGCCGAAACAAACGGTAACCTTCATAGTTTAACACGATGATAACACACTTTTGATAACTTTTCTTAATTATATTCGTTATTTGTATTAATAACGATACACTTGAGAGGGAGGCATATGTACTGTTATTGTTGTTAATGTGGATACAATTTATGCTTTTCAGTTGCTGCTGCTGCTGCTGCTTTTGCTGTCGCATTTGGCTTTGGCATCATCTTCTCTATTCATCTGCTCCTCTGCAGCTGCATTCCTGTGTGTGCGTGTGTGTGAGTGTTTCTATGTGTGTGTGTGTGTGTGTTTCTATGTGTGTGTGTGTGTTGCTATTCATTTAGCTGGCCGTGCAGCATTGGTGTGAGCGAGATGGCACACAGTACACACGCTTAAAGGACGACCGCTGCGGCTGCGCACTTGACTGCAGCTGTACACACACGATGAAAATAAAAGTATATATGTATAAAAAAAAAAAACCGCTTTTTTATAGTTATATTTTGTTATCGTCTTTTATCGCGCTCTCAATGCAGAAGCCGCTCGTCACTCGAACTTCGGTCTCGCTCTACCCCTTTATTAGTTGATATTCGCGTTGCTTTTGTTCGCTGTTTTGTTTATTTACCATATTTCACTGCAATTGCTTTGTAACTGTTGTTGTATGAATCACACGCGCAGTCGTCATACGAAAAACAAGTTACAACAACACACGCAACACACACAACAGGCCAAGATCATCGGAAACGCAAAAAAAAAACACGTTAGACAACAACAATAACACACAACACAAGCTGCACCCCAAAAACTGCAACGGCAATTGCAGTTATTTGTTTCCACTACGAAAAAAAATAAATAAAGAAAATTGTTCGCTTAATTTGCGTTTTTAGCCGCTTTTGGATTTTATTTAAGAGTTAAATTGCCTCTTTTTTTGTTTTACCAACTGGTGGTGGCACACTTATTCCGTTCGATCATTCTTCGTCGCAATGTCGTTTCGTGGTTATCTTCGCTTTTGTAAGTTAGCGTCGCTTTGCTTTCAATTCTTTATCTTTATCTTTTGTTTTGCTTGCACCTACAGTTGGCTATATATGCATTTGCAATTGATTCGTTCACGATTCTACACAATTCTCATTAAGTAGGTCTTAACGTGTTATTTCAAAAACAAAAAAAAAAAAAACGAAAAAAAAAAACAGATTTATTGGCGTTGAACATAGCGCTGCGTTGCGAACGCTGTCTCCGCGTTAAATGCCAACAACAACTAGCGATGACTGCGAACAACGATTTATCATTTACTCGACTTATCGGAAATTGCAAAGCGATATTTTTAAACATCGATAGTTCGCATGAAACATCGTAACATTACTAATATAATTGAAGGAACATTTTCGATATACTCATTTAACATTGTTCAAATTTCACACATAATAAGGGCTTTATGCTCTGTGTCTTACACAAAATACTAGCCGAATTTTAACCCACTAATTGAAAATATGCTGTAAACATTGTTTTCTTTATAATTTTAATTTTTGTTTTATTAATAATTTTTCAAGAGTAAGGCTATATAAATTTATGTATTTATATGAAACGCAAAAATTGTCAATAAGCATTTGTTATGCCTTGCCTGTCGAAAGCACCAATATATCGCTCAGCCGGCTAGCTATCGGCTCAGGGGTAGTTCTACCGCGATATATTGGGCGGCAAGTTAACAAAAAATTTGTATTCTTTTATAAATAAAAAAAAAACAAATATTTCCATCAAATCAGTCCGCTCGCTGCTGTGTTGGCTGTGTGGATGTTGTACAGCCTGCGTGTCCCTCCCTTCCTAGAGATTCCTCCTTTAAATTTCCTGGAGAAATTCACTTTCACAATTATTCCTTTCTCGTTTGTTTCTTATGCACTCATCTCACCCAATCACATTAATTTACCACCTCATGTTCATTTTTTCAGACTATTTAATTTACAACTCATGAGATACATGCGACATCGTGATCCCAAACATTTTGTTGGCCAACACTAAATTCGCTTATATATATTTAATACAAGTTCACCTATCTACTTAATTTAAAGCTTACAAAATATTTATGATTTTTCTTTTCATTTTTTATTTGGCTTCAAAAGTGCGCATCACTGAGTGACAAAATGAGCATCACTATTGCATGGTTTAGAGCCGATCAGCTGTCTTTGGCTCACTCTGCCGCAGTTAGGCGGGAATAAACTCAAAGGTGTTTTGATTTAATCCGAGGTGTCTCCGGGACTCCGGGTTTCGACTTCATGGTTCCTGAGTCCAGTTGTCCCTGGCGATTTTCTCCTTGATGGCGGCGATGGATAGTTCCGCCTGTTGCTGCAGCCGATTTGTATGTTTTTTGTTTTATTTTTATTTATTATTTTTCTTTTGCTTTATATTTATTTATTTTACATTATTTAATTTTATATATAATTACTTAATAATTTATTCACAATTAATTTATTTGAATTTCTTTTTAAATCAATCTTTTCGCAGCGCATGCGGTCTCTCTTCCTCCTCTTTTTGTTCCCCTTTTTTTCCCTCTCAATTTTTTCTTCCCTATTTTTCTGAAGATGGTCCTCCATCGATATCCCTCGCCTATCGATCTTTCTGCCGACCATAACACGTTTTACGTTCAAATCAAACAAGGAATCAGTTTTAAGGCTGGTCATATCGAAAAAACGAGCGTTGTCGAATAGAATTTAAATTACCCGATTTGTACCATTGGCAAATATTGAGTGTGGCCAAAGCCGATAAGATACCAAATAACGAACATTTATCAAGATCAATATATATTTTTATATCTTGAGTACTTAAGAAACGTACAATTTTCAATATTTCAAGTGTTCCAGAGAAATTGAAAATTGAAGCTTGAAATTTTTCAGACAGTGTTTTCACAATGTCTATCGATATATCAACAGATGTTGCTCAACTAATTTATAGAAAATATAGTGCAAAAGCCGGTTGATCGGCAATCGATACTTGTAAATGGAAAGGGCGATCGCGGAATATTATTCATTTATGTTTAAAACAATGAATTCCTTGGACAACAAGTAAATCGAAATAAGCACAGCGTACCACGTGCAACCCGCTCACAAACATTCCGTGGGCCGGTTGGAACGGTTCAATAGTAAGTAATACAAGTAATACACTGGTGACAATAATCATTGTGGCATGGCGGAGACTCACTCGAAGGGTGCTTACAACTACAAGACATTGCTGTAAGTACTTAACTTATAGATGTGGAGGATGCATATAAATTCTCGTTTGTCGTTCGTCGTTTTGCAGATGCACAAATATACCCGAACTGTTTCTCGACAAGTTTGTGGCGCGATCGCATTTTGGTCGCTTTGGCAGTTTGGTGAATTTTGTGCTGCGTCCGCGCCGCATGACCTGCACGGTTAGCTATGCCAGCGAATCGGAGGCAGAAGTGGCGCTGCGCGAGGGCAGCGTCTATAACGGGCATAAATTCGAAATGTGCTATGCGGAAATGGAGAGTTCGCCGGCACAGAAGACCGAGGAATGGGTCGATCCCGATGTGCAGGCCGAACTTAGTGCATTGAGCGGCGCCTGGCGCAACGAATATCCAATCGGAAACAAGGCCATCGGCAACGCAACAAAATCAGCAGTCAGCAGAGCTAGTGCAGCAGCAGCCGCAGCAGCAGCAACGCCACTCGGCAATGGAGAGCGGGAAAAGGCAGGAGAACGGGAACGAGAACGAGAACGGGAAAGGGAAAGGCATCGTGAGCCGGCTCAACACAAGCAAGCCAGACAGGAACTGGAGGCAGTGATGCGCAAGCCGGCGCACACCAGCGAGGAGAAATATCGCATTCTCGATGCCCGCGACAAATTGTTGCGCCTGAATCAGCGACGCGGCACATCGGCAACGGATGCCCAGCGTCGATTGCAGGGCCACTGCCCGGACATGTGCCCCGAAAAGGAGCGGGTGCTTCGCGAATTTCAGCGCCAGGTGGCCGTCTACGAGCTGCAGCCAAACTCCGATGAGCTAATATCACACGAACTGGCACTTAAACAATATTCGCGCAGCAGCGCCGATCAGGAGACGCCGTTGCCGCACGAGCTGCGCGCCGAGCCGGCGCTGCACATGACCATGAGCTATCTAATGCACGAGATAATGGATATCAGTGAGCGACAGGATACGCATTTGGGCGATTGGTTTCATTTTGTTTGGGATCGCACACGATCCATACGCAAGGAGATTACACAGCAGGAGCTGTGCTCGCTGGACGCCGTCAAGCTGGTGGAGCAGTGTGCACGCTTTCACATCCATTGTGCGGCACGCCTGGTGGCCGAGGATCCCAGCGTCTTCGATACGAAAATCAATGCCGAGAATCTAACGAAATGCTTGCAAACGCTCAAGTACATGTATCATGATCTGCGACTCAAAGGCGTCCAATGTCCACGTGAAGCCGAATTTCGTGGCTATATTGTGCTGCTCAATCTGGCGGATGCGAACTTTCTCTGGGACATTGGCCAGCTGCCGGTCGACCTGCAGAATTGTCCGCAAATCCGACGTGCCATTCAATTCTATTTGGCACTGCACGATACAAATTTTGTGCGCTTCTTTCAGCTGCTGCGAGAACCGGAGACCAGCTACTTGAGTGCCTGCATCCTGATCACATACTTTCTGCGCCTGCGCATTCTCGCCCTGCATCGACTCGTCCAGGCCTATCGGGCGCCACGCAAATATGAATTCTCCTCGCTGCCAGTCAGCTATATACGCCAAATGCTGCTCTTCCCCACTGACGCCGAGGCAGCCGAATTTGCCGGCTGCTGCGGTCTCAATGTCAACCAAATGGATCGTGTCGAACTCACTCGCATCCACTCGCCGGAGCATTACAAGCTGCGCAGACAGATCGAGGTGAGTGCCACTTAGAGATTTATAATGCATACATATATATATATATCACCTGGACATTAAAATAGGTATGATGACAACGACTTCATCATGTCCAAATGGTTTCTTAAAACAGTGAAATAGTTGCGACTTGCATAAAATGAAGAAAACTTCAATTTCTCTCTTTTTGTTTCTGTTTGCCAAAAGGAATATATTTGAGTACATTCATTAGAATAAAGGCTTAACTGGGCTATCAGATAATATTAAGTAGGTCAAGGACATCACGACAGGACCAAGAATAAGATCAACGAAATAAATTAACAGTTGCAAGAATTTTATTGGTGAAAGAATTCCATAATAAATTAACTAAAAATCAGTTATGCATTCTGCTAGCCACCAAGTTGTTGGCTTCACACCAATTTTACTGTCCATGTCTGTATATATATGCTATCTCTTTCGCACAATTCATCTATCTCTTTCTATCATATCTATATCATTCAGCTGGTGGAATCGAAGCGTCAGCAGAGCGTTGGCGAATGCATCTGCGGGGAACCGCTGCCGCCGAAAGCTCTGTACTTAAATCATCGGCCGCACAACAGCTTCAATGAGCAGGGCTATCTGAAGAGCAGCGCCTGGACTGCCCGGGATCAGTTGGACAATGGCGGCACACTGGAGGCGGAGGAGCAGGAGCAGGCGGACAATGATAAAGCAACAATAAACGGTGCAAACATGGACAAAGAATCGTCTAAGCTAATAGCAACACAGCAGCCAATCGCACAAATTGATAATCTGTTCAAGGTGCCGCTACTCTCGGCGCCAATTTCGCCCAGGAACAAGGCAACGACACCGCCGCCACCGATGCAACCGATTTTGCAGCAGCCACCACAGCTGCAGTTGCAGCCAGCGCAGATGAGCAGGCCTGGTTTCAGTTTTGGGCTGGCTGCACCGAGCAGCGCTGGTTTCGGGGCAAAGGCCGGCCCGCAGAGTTTCGGCATTGGCCCAGCCAAGACGATGCCCGCAAATACGGCCGCTGTGGCAGACCAATTGCGTCAGCAAAAGGCCGCCGATGATGCCAAACTGGCAACATTGCAGCAAGCAATAGCGGCGGCTAAGCAGCGCGAACTGGAGCTGGTTGAGCTGCAAAAGGCAAAGGCGGCACAGGCGGAACGTGGTCGCCAGGAGCGTCAGCTTAAGCAGCGGCTGGCCAAAGAGGAGCAAATGCGCGAGCAGCTGGCCAGGGAGGAGCAGGCGCGTCAGCAACAGGCAGCCGCAGCAGCAGCAGAGGCCGCAGCGGCTGCAGCCGCAGCTGAGGCACAACGCCAGCGACTAAAGCGTCGCCAGCTGCAGCTGGAGGAGCGAAGCCAACAGTTGCTGTGCGAACACATCGATCAGCAGGTGGAGCGCCTGTGCCGACAGGAATGGCAACTGCACAAGAACACAATGGATCTCTATCAAACGCTGGTGGACCAGCAAATCGCTGCGCTTGCCGAGGAGCAAGTGATGCGCGCCAATTACGAGCTGGGACTGATGCGTCACTATTGGCGACGCTGGCGCAGCTATCGACATGTCCAGCAGCACAAGGATGCCCTCTTTGCGTGTCTGCCACTCAGCTTTTCTGCCGTGCTGCCGGAACAACTGATGGATGCCAGAGAATTGGAGCAGCCGTTGCGTCTGATGCGTCGCTATCGTCAGGGCGAATCGTGCGACTTTAGCCGACTGCTGGCGGGCATGGACGATCACTGCTCCCTCAAACTGGATCTGTGGGAGCTATTGGCGCGCACACTGCAACAGCAGCAATGCCAGCAGCAATTGATGCCAGCTGCGCGTCACTATTTCAAGCTGCTGCTATCGCTGCCCGAGGGCAGCTTTGGCCTCGTCGTCGAGCATGCCCTGGATCACGGTCTGCTGCGTCAGTCGGCGCAAAGCGATGCCCAAGCATCCGCCAACAGCGAGTGCTATATGCATGGACTCGCCAACGGTGTGGCGCTCTGCGTCCACAAACTGAAGGGGATGCCAAAGCAGCAGCAGCTGCAGCAGCTGGCTGATGCCGATGGCATCATTTTCTTTGTGGATGCCAAACAGATGGAGGAGGCACGGCAAAGATTGCACCATTTATGCAGCAATAGTGGCTGCGGTTACGTGGCACTCATTGTCCAGCAGCAGGAGGAGATGACGCAGCACCATCAGCTGGCGAAGCAATTGCACTTGGACACTTTAAGATCCTATCGCATCTACAATACCCGAACTGTGGCGCGTGGCAAACAGAAGCTGCAATTGGTTGCGCTGCTGCAATGCGGCGTTCAGTTTTTGGCCAAGCAGCGGCATCGCAGTCGCGGCATGCTGCAACAAATGCCGTTGCACGAATGGCTGTTGCATCATTTGAGCGACGAGCTCTTTTGCCGGCTGCGTTATGCATGCCAACAGGATGCGGCATTTGGACGCAACTGTTCGCAGTCACCGCAGTTCTGCGCCCAGTTGTACAATGAGGCAGTGCGTCGCCTGCAGCTGGTGGCAAGCGAGCGGCTAGATAAGCTACCGCAGCTGCCGCAAGAGTTGCGCTGCTATGTGGAGCCAATGACAACAGCATCGGCCGGTCTGCCCAATCGACTCGAGTACTTTATCGACGGCTGGCAGTCGCCGGAGAAACGCGAACAGATTGTCCAGCTGCTGGAGCAGGCGAAGTTGCCGCAAATGTTGCCACTGCCGCCGCAGCAGCAGCATCATCAAGTTTGCGAATGGCTCCTCAACTATGCCCAGCTGAGTGCTGAGGAGACACACGTCGAGACGCTGGCATTGAGTGCCATACAAACGTTGGAGCTGCAGTTGCACGCGGGCAACGTGAACTGTCTGGACATTGTGGAGATCTTTGCCAGGGAACGGTTGCTCTTCGTGCTGCGTCGCAACCAATCTGGCCTGCCATCTGCCATTGTCTACAAGCGCGAAACCATGCAGAGCTCCTTTCATAATCACTGGTACTACGACCACCAGCCAGAAGATGCGTCAACAGCAACAGAACACGAACAGCAGCAGCAGCAGCATCAGGATCAGGAGCTGGATCAAGCGACACCAACGGAACAATACATATTTGAGGAGGTGCTGGATCAGGCACAGAGCGCGCTTGACAAGTACCAGGAGCAGCGCATCGAGCGCAAAACCTTAACCGTTTTAAATCAGCCACTGGACCAACTGGACAAAGCGGAGCGGGCAATGGACCGCTTAGATCGTGATTATATCGCGACGCACAGCACAGCAGATTATCAGCGAGATCAATACCAACTAGCTGAGAATCGACCAACGAAGCCGTCCATTAAGCGACAACGCCTCAGTTCAGCCGCTGATGATTCCATTGCGACCTTGGATCGCACCGAGCGGCTTCTAAATGAGAGCCAAACGAGCGAACAGCGACGCCGTCAAGTTCTGCAACGTGCCAAGAAATATTTATAACCACTGCCGCATTTCCTATTCTGTAATACATGTTTTCAATTTATAATAAATGTTGTAATACGTTTGAATGTGTCCATATTGCAAAGGCTGCTGCAAATTCATTATTTCTCAAATCGGAGACACTTTGAAAGGAAAGCCCTTTTGTTGCAAAATCAAAAGGGTATATAAGCATCGGTTACCCACACATTAATGTAGGTGTTCTCTGGCTCCAATGATCCTATCTATCCATTCAAAACATGCACACACAGAAAACGTGGCGACTTTTAATATAAATTCCCTTCTTTCATTTAGCTGCCGCCAAAAAGTATGCAATGTTTTTCGCTTAACGCGGAAATTCTAACGGAACCAGTAAATGTTATGTGCGCGATACTATCGATAACAGTATTTCGAGTATCGCGTACATTGAGTATTTGAGTATCGTCAGAAGCAATTGGCGCGCAAGATGGCTACTTTCAAATCAAAAAATCAAAAAACGATTGCATTGAAAGTGTTCGTATTTATCTGCTGAAAAAATATTTTAAAAAAATTATATATATATGTAAAAAAGTATTAAAAGGCAAGGTGTAAGAATGAGAGACTAGAATGTATCAAGATTTCATCGTGTTCCTTAGTGTTCCTGCACGTGCCGAATTCTTGAAATCACGTTCGCAAATTGTTATAATATTTAAGAAAATAGTAGAATAATAAATAGTTAATGACAGCACACTGTAGCGTTGTATTTATACGAAAAATCATTTATTGAGTAAATTTCTTTTCGATTTCTTTTTTTCACATGTTCACAAAAATTTTAGTTTTTTCTTTTTTAACATATTAGCTGGGCTTGCTATTAGCTCGATGCTGGGATATTCAATATTGGGTTGTTTTTGTTTCATGTACTGTTATGTTGTTGTGGGTGTTGTATTTGTTGAGTGTATGAGTGTACATATGTATGTATGTAAGTAGTAGTATGTTTGTGTTGGGTTTTCACATTTTTCTCTAGCATTTAACATTAAATTACACCGAAAAGTAAAATTGCTTAGACTAAATATACACATAGTATGTATGTATACTTATCTTGCTGTCATATAAGCAGACCCTTGGGACTGGCCAGAAACTCTTTCGTGGACACCATTTCTTTTTTGTAGGAATGAAAGTATGTATGCATGTAAACATAGGTTTTTTGCAAATAAAGGTTAATTTCCTGTGAATATTCTTTAATATTTAGTTTGCTTTTTAATCTAAACTATGACACAACTGACACCGAGAAAGCTTTCTTATGGTTTTAAATTGTTTTCATTTTCTTTTTTTTTTTGGGTTTTTTTTTGCAGAATTTTTTGGAGTTATTTTCCCTTATTATTTTTGTTTTTTTCTTTAATGGCAGATAGGAAACAAACACAGAGCTGATATATGTATGTAATTAGTATAGGCATATGCATGTAGTTATGTATGTATGGATGTATGCTGGTATTCATCATCACCATAAAACATTTTGGATTTGGCTGCTGTTGCACTTGATTATTTTCAATTTGGTTACGTTCACAATTCAAACAATTATATATGTAATTAAATATGATTTTATAGGTTTTTTTTCTTAGTATAGAAAACAACAAAAATGGACGCAAAATTATTGTTATTTGTTTTTCTTTTCTTATTATTTTTTTTTTTTGGTTTTTTTTTGTTATGTATAAGTGTATATAATATGAATTTAGTTTCGTATTGGTTTTTTCGTTCATATGTATATGTAGATACACATGTATTTGTTTTGTTTTTGTTTTTGTTTTGGTTTTTGTTTAATGACCCATTTTGCTTTTATGTTTATTTAATTATATAGGAATATGCAAAACGTACACTTAGTATAAATTGTATTGTTACTAGTATATAAATGCAGCTCTAAAACTTGTTTGCAATTTTTTTATTTTTTATTTTCGGTTTTTCTTTTTTTGTCGCCATTCAAGTACATTTAATTATATTTCTATAGAAATATTCAAAGCTGAGGTAGTATTCATTTAATTTTTTTTGTTTTTTTGTTTTTTTTTTCGATTTTATTTTCTTTTTGTAATTTAAGTATATTTTAGTTAGTATGTATCGTATAAATGTCTATATAAATGTACTCACACGCATTTCACACTTTTGTTTGGTTTTTTCTTTTATGCCTTTGCTTGTGTGTATACTTTGTATTTGATTTTTGGGATTGTTTTGTGGTTTACTCGTATTACTCCTGCAGATAACCCTTTGATAGGTGTATTAAAATCACCATTTATGCAGAATTCTGCTTTAGGTAGACTTGAATTTGGGGCTCATTGGATAGATGTACATACATATTGGATACATACTATGTATGCATCATATTAAAAGCGTTTGACCCAAACACACACATCGAGACCGTTTCAAATGGAACGCCGGGCATTGGATTTGACTTGAGCTTGAACTGAAAACGTCAATTTAAAAAAAAAAAACAAAAAACAGAAGAAATTTGAAATCAAAGTCGAAATCTAATTCGATATCGAATCTGAGACAAACTGAAAAGCTGGACCACAACTGGAACGAAAAATATACAATAAATAAATAAAAAGAGTTTTTGGTTTTTTTTTTTTTTTGGTTTTTTTTGTAATATTTTACTGTTTTTTTTGTTTTGTTTTGTTATATTTAAAATATTTATAGATATTTAGCTCTGTAATGTAGATACAATGTACAATGTAGATACATTATGTCGTCTACATCAATGTTGATTATTTATGTAGATTAATGAACTTAACATGTATAATGTAGACGACGCAAAAAAAAAATCGTTAAACTACAGATAAGTAATTTAAAAATAATTAAAGGTAAAAATAAAAGTATTGTAAAATTGTTATTATTTGTAATGATTTTTGTGTTTGTTTTTTTTTTGTTGTTGTTTTGTTTGTTTTAATGTTCTCATGTTTGTTATTTTATTTGTATTATATTTATGTTTTGTTTTTTGTTTTCTTCATTTCCGATTATGTATTTATGAACTCCTACGTTGCTTGCCATATAAATGCTAATGTTTGTGTGGGGTGGGGTGGGGGGGGAGGTTGGGGGGGTTGTGAAAGATCCAGCGAACGGTTTTAATTATAAACTACTATCACACAGGCAAACCGATTGCTGGATAAGGTTTTTTTTTTTTTTTTTTTTTTTTGTATTCTCTTGTTGTTGTTGTGGGGGAAGGGGATGAAAGAAATGCTTAACAAAATGGCGTAGGTTTTTATTGAATGGGTTTGCATTTAGGGAATACATGAAAATCTAGCAAAACAATTTAATTTGAAATTAATTAACCAATAGTTTTATTGTACATATAGTTGTATGTATATGTACATATAAGATTATCATATGTGTGCAATTATATATTGTAATTGGATACGATTAATGTTTGAATTTATGCGTGTGTGTGTGTGTGTGTGTGTGTGTGAAATGATGTCCAAAACTAATTGGCCGATTGCCAATCATTTCAGTTGTTTTTCTTTTCTTGATTTTTTCTTTTTCTTTTTTCAAATGCAATAAACATAACGGTAACTAAATATATGTTGTAGCTCAGTCTCCAGTTGATTACCGTATGAATTTATTCCAGTTCAAAGAAAGATAATTTATACATATATGTATATATACATATATATATGCAACGCAATAAAAATATATATATTATGTGAAATTATTCAAAAATGCAAAATATACATACAAAAGGGAGAATTAACCAAAACAAAAATGATAAAGATTATGTTATTTGTTGGTCTCTTTCTTTTATCCCGACGTGTCACATTCTCAAATAAATATGCTCAATTTTTTTTTGCTTTTGCTCTGTTTGCGGTTTAAGTCTCTCATAATTTATAAGCATTCGTTTTTTTTTTGTTTTTGTTTTTGTTTTTGTTGTTTTCTAGCCAACTAGTACTTTAATGGAAATTACTCAAAATTATTTAAGTTTATAATTTTTGATTTGATTTTAGTTTTGTTTTGTTTCGTTTTTTTTTTTTTGTTTGTGTGTGTTTTTTTGCTAGTAGTTGGTTGCTTCTAATACATGTACTGCTATAGATACGTTCTGTGTATGTTTCTTCTGTATTGGGTTCGCTTCCCACATGCATACACACACACACGCACACGTACATGTGTGTGTGTGTGTGCATGCATGCGTTTTATACATGTGTACAACAATATATATATTTATAATCGTGTCATCATCATAATATGCATGTAATTTTGTGGTTCTTTTCTTTTTAGTTGTGTTTTCTTGTTTTGTTTTTTGTTGTTTTTTTTTGTGGGTATTTTTTGTTGTTGTTGTTTTTTTTTTGTGTGGCTTTTTTGTTTTTTTTTTATGTTTTTTCTTGCAATATATATTAGTACACGTAAACTCTTAGGGCTGACAATCGGTTTCAGTTATGATGTAGGTATTTCTCTTAGTTTCATCCTTTTCTTTTGTATACTTAAATGCTAAAAATATATGTATATGTATGTATGTATGTATAGTAATTCATAGTTATTTCACTTGCGTATCATTTCATTTCCATTGTTTATTAGTCATATTGTTGTTGTTGTTGTTTTTGTTGCATTGACAATTACGGTCAATATATCAATATACGTTCAATATATCAATTTGTATGCATTTTTTTTAGTTTAGTTTAGTTGTGTCGTATCCGAGGAGTTATTACTGTACTGTTCGGTTCGGTTCGGTTCGGTTCTGCACTGATCTGATCGGTTTGGTACTGTGATCTTTAATCTATTCTAACTTTGATCTCCTTTTCTTGCTTGTCGTCTAGTCATTTTAGTATTTATTTCGTTATTCCATTTTTTTTTTTTTTTTGTTTTATATGCTGCTGGCTGATTTTGCGTCCAATTTTTTATTTTTATTTTTATTTTAAATATAAGAAAAACATTTTTGAAATTAAATTAACCCCCAATTTTAATGTTATGCTGATATTTTAAGCTTTTTATATATTTATTTTTTTTTCTTCATATTCACGTTTTTCTCTTGTTTTCTTCACTTTCTGGCGTGCTGCTTAGAGTTTCATTAGAATACCATGTTGGATCGTTATTCGTTATCGTTTAGTATTTTTAGTATTTCACTTTCTTGTTTCTTAAATGTGAGTGGCGGCTTTG